GCAGGGGGGAGGGGGGGTGCCTTTCGCTTTTCTGCTCGTTCCGCGTTCCTCGGACAGCATTCTTGTGATTCCTGAAGTCCATCCTCGCCTTCTCACTCCGTGATTACGACTCGGTTACAACATCGAATGATCGTTTGCCTGCGTCTCAGTGGACTGTGTCGACCGCACGACCGCAATTGGGCTAGTTGGTCGGTAACGTCGATGCACAAGGAGGGAATATCTGCACGATAACAGGGTTTACAAGCATTCGGAAACAGGCCTGTTGTGCCGGGGATTAAGCAATCAGAGTTAAAGGATATTCCCCTTCTTGTTGGTGACAAAACAGTACTTAGCTTGGTGTCCCGTCGGTGGCAAGGAGCTATTTCTCATATCAAGAGAAGGAGAAAACCACCTTATGCATGCAGGGCGCGGCGGGTGGGTGGAAGAGACAAGAATTGAATCTTCAACCTTTAGCCCTGCATGAATCATATTACTTACTACAGCGAGCTGTTTGACTCTCAAAAGCAAAAGGGGAAACAAAAGAAACAAAAACGCCACGACGGACGGCTTCTCCCGCGCAGGCCAGTTTGGGACGCCGGGACAACAAGCCTTAGGGAAGGGGGGTGGATCACCGCCATGACTGATAAACCCTGCTAGTTGAAGCTCCGCACTCTTATATTACCTTCCCATTTGTTCGTTTGGCAATGATAGTGTGAACTGCCGGTTTCGTTTTACTTTGTCTCTTAACTGATCACTCAGCACGCATGCTCGGAAGCTAGTTACCACCTTCGGTCCTTGTGCTGGAAAGTTTCCAAGATTTGGTCTTAATGATATACTTCCCTTACATATCTTCGTTGTGTTCCACAGCAGCGAGCGGCTTTTGTTTCCTGGTATATATGGACTGGAACCTACGATATGGATAGGTTCAGCGTCATTATCCGAACCGGAGGAAATACGCTGAGCTCTCTTGAGAGGCAACAACCACTTCAGCGTTGCATGTTTAAGGATGTTTCCCTTGCACCTGGGCCATCAAATTGACCTTCATTTGTTTTCCGCTGAGAGAAATCATTTAAAAGGCATGGATCAGAACCGCTACTGCTCCTGCTCAAATTTGTCTCCTAGCAGCCAGTACCTCTGACTTACCACTCATACGCCTAGCTAAGAACAAAGCCTTGTTTTCGTTACCACTTTTACATAGGAAAGATGTGCGATTATAGAGAGTTGACTCACAGTTGTGGTCACAAGTTGTACTTGGTTTACGCCTGGTGCTCCGAATATCATCAAACACAGATACGATGCCCGCCAAATGTGATCTCGCGGTATGTTTGAACACATTTTCTTTTTAACCAATGCATAAGAAAAGAGAGCCCTGGACATCAGAATTGTACTGAGTGAAGCAATCACGGGATTAGGGAAACCGCTCCGAAAGAATGCAGTACGTAAATTCCGTCGTCCGTCATCTGCTCGACCTTCACCCCTCGTCCCTTATCGGCAGTGTTTGATTTGTGCTCACTGGAGACACACAATGTGCTGTATATGTTGGGAAAATATGTTGTGAACATGGCCAAACCTACGTTATGACTGTACCTCAAGTATTAATTGATCATTTTTGTCCCTAGGTTCCTGTGCGGAATCGAAGAAAAGAAGATCCGTGCCTTCGTCTTCGGGCCCCTCCACCTCGTCATGAAAAAGAAAACCCGATAATTCCCCCCTTGAAAAATGTGACCGAGAAAATTTTTCCTCATAGCTACCACCATCAATGATTCCTGCATAAAATTTTGCATTATTTCGTCACCCCACCAGTTCTCCTCTCTTCATGACATCGATACGAACCTACTAATTAACAAGGTGAGATCAAATCGGCCGGCGGGTGGTCTTGAACCCTGCTTTTGTCAACTGGGCCTATTTGGGGTGCTGGCAGTTTTTCAGGGTCTGGCTGGCTCAAGCCGTGGTCAAAAATAATGGTGCAACTCCGGACAACGCACGACATAGGCGACAAAGAGTTGACGGGGAAAAGAAAACCAAGGCTGATTGAAGATGTCGATCCGTTTTTGTCCAATCACAGTGTTCTCCTGTTTTACTTTTTTCTCGCTTTGTCTTTTCTTTTTGGTTTATTTTTAGGGGCCGGCATATTTCGCTACTTTTAGTTTGGCTTTTTCTTTTTTTGGTCCCTTTCTGCAATTTGTAGGTCACACAAGTACGGAGTAAAAGGGGCCATTATTGATGTTTTTTCCTCTGTCTAGATTTTTGGGTTATTGCCCTTTCTTAATGTCGGGCTTTTGACCATCTTCCCCCATTACTCCTAAAATTTACTCTCTTGCAAATCGGAATTTGTTTGGGCTTACACTTTCTTTTCCCTATTATCTTTGCTGAGGAGCTCGATTACCGCTCTGTTTCTGACATCTGTGGTCTCATGGTAGAGGTTTTCTATCTCCACCACTCCCAAGAGATACGGGCCCCCTATTTGCATTCCTGCCTATCGCTATCGTCGTTGTAGTTCTCCTCGTCATCCCTCCCTCCCTTCTCTCCTCACGTTCTTATCTGGAGGGAAAAAGGGGAATTGGGAAAGTTGGGAAAGGTAAAATGAAACAAGGAGCAACGAGGAAGAAAGAAAGGGAATAGGCATAAGACACATTATGACGATTAATGAATATGGCACCCGCCACCAAACCTTCTTTCCCTCCTCTGCCTGCTCCTCGCACTCCCCATCATCGTCTCACCCGCCCTGAAGGGGGGGGGGGGGAATAAAGGAGCATAGGGCAAAAAAAAAAAAAAAAAAAAAAAAACCACATGTAAGGGATTGTATTTCTAACAAGTAGTGCGCGAATATCCCCATCGAGGTTGGTGCGTCCTACTTTGAGATGGGCTCTTTTTTCCCCTTTTTATTTTCAATGTGGTTTTGTATGTAATTTTCCCCTTACTTTTCTGCTGGTTTGATACCCCACGTCCTCTTCACAAAATACGACACATGCGTTTGCGGCACTGTTATCTCGTTCCATATTTTCTCCGGTGCACCTACTAAAGCTTTCAGCCAATACCCCCGAAGATCTAGTCCTCTACCTGGGCAAGATAGCAACTTCCTTTCTTGTCCTTCCCCCCCTTTTCACTCGATTTATCATTTTTCCTTCTCCATCTACGCCTCGTTCAAGGTTTGTGCTCTGCTTCCCTTCTCCCCCATGTGACATGAGCCAATTAAGTGGTTGCTGATGCAAAAACCTTTTAGCCTTAGGCACGCATAGACACATGTGCGCTGCATACTAAGCGTGGGGTATCCCACCCCGGGTCCCCCTCCGGTTCTTCCACAAGGGAGACATCAGAAAAGTCATCCAATACCACCTCAATGTCCCTCGCTTCCACCCAGACTAACATCTAATCCACCTGCACCCGCACAGATAGGAAGAAGACCCGTGCGGGCAGCGGTTAGCCAGCAGTAGCCTACACAATTTTTGTCGATGAGAAACGGGATCAGGGGCTTGCAGACTGGGCACACTTACATGCATGTATGCATGCATGTATGTTGTATGCACGCAAGCACGCACGCAGGAGGATCCAGCGGGGCCAGGCTTCAAGCCTTCAACTTTTGAGACTGGAACCGAGGGGTTGCTGTTGGTGGCGGTGGACGGGGTGGACGGATCGGGGAGCGAGGGGCCGGGCCGTATGAAGGTTTTTGATATATGATAGGTTGCATTTGTTCCATTTTCAATGTAGGAAAGTGAACTGGGCACTGCCCCTCCTCTCCCCCAGCGTCTAGTGCTTATATCTCTACCGTTTTCTAAGTGACTAGATTGTAGAGGGGTCCTGATCTAGGTTTGATGTAAGGGAAAGGCTCTCAAGATGTTGTTGTGGAGATGATAAGGTGAGTGCTCATACAATTTGTATGAAGGGGAGAATGTATAGTACATGTATGTACAAGGGATAAAGTTAACTAGTTTCTTCCCGTTTCACTTGTCAACAGGGTCAATCTTATCAGTAGAGGGAGAATATCAACTATCTACCCTAGCAGGTAGTTCTCAAATATATCCTTCTCACCCTAATCCTTCTACTTCTTCCTCCTTAGTTTCTTCCAAAGCAACTCATCCAATAATGTATACATACATTATTCTCCACTTTCCTCACAACAGAACATGTGTGAGGCATGCAATGCAAGTGTCAAAAATGGGACATTGAGACAAGAGTTTCCGTGGCTTGCATAAGCACTCTTGGTGGCAATGTAGATCTGAGCTCATTCTTTTGTGTCTCTACTTCAATTGCTTGTTTTTCTGCTTTTCTTTGGCTTTTCTGTTTTCCCTCTCTTTTCTTTTCCTTTTGTGCCTCTGATCTCTTCATCACCTCTTCATTCTTTCTTTCTTCAGACTTTCACTTTATTATTATTATTCTTCTTCTTCTTCTTTCATTATACTCATATACAAGCAGAGCTTATGATGAGTTCTTGCATGATGTTAAATACAGGTCAAGAGTTGATTATATAGGAGAAAATACAGGTGTTGAAATCATGCCAAAATAACTTAAAATAATGAGAAGAAAAAATTGATAGTTTAATATATGAAGTAAGTGATAATATACAGAGTGTGAAAAAATGAAAAATATTAATATGAGTAGTAAAAGTGTTATATTTCATAGTAGCAGATTATGCAGAGATTGCAGTTAATAAAAAAGGTGAAACAGAAAAGAGATAATAAGAAGTAAAAAATTAATAAATATTAATTTTATTAATTTTATTAACTAGTTTACTTATTATTATATTCTTTTAATGTTAAACACTATGTTCTTTTTATGTTTCTGATTATACTTCTTTGTATTATTATAATTATATAAACGTTTATAGGCAATGGCAATAGCAGCAACAGTGACGGACGGCCCTTACTGGCCAAGGAAAGAGGACTAGCATACAGCTTATAAACCCTCTTGCTTAATTTACTCTAAATTCCGTTCCATTTTGGAGCTGGGGAGTCTATTTATTTTGATATATATATTACTATTACGACGGGCTCAGTTGCAATCAGGGGTCATCTAGTCGTCACGCACTATTTCTGCAAATTCTTTTCGAACTGGTTTGCCCAGCCCTACCAGTGGTTTCTTCAAAGCGAGTTACTGCGGGCACAAAATATTATATTGAAGCGAAAACGTGGAATTCTTACGATTGTTTCAAGTAACGTGAATCGTTTTTCTCAGAGATTCCGTGCGAAGTTTTGGGCGCAGCTTTCGTGTGTTCACTGGCTGCCGTAGACCGAAATCGGTAAAAATTATTTAGAGGGGTGTAAATTTAACTATGAATAATAAAATAGCATGAGTAAAATGATTTGGGAGTCTCCTCGTTTTAGACATGCAGAAGCTATTGTCAGTATGGCTTTGTGACTTGCGTATTAACTTTATATAGTATCGGGGTTATGTTATAACAAAAAATAAAACCCGTAGAAAGAAAAGAAATAAGTTTCATGAGGAACAAAGGAACAAAGATTAAGTTCTCCATGGACACGGATCATTTCGATAAGCCGGGTGGTATTCATTAATAAACGTATTGCCAGGGAGCTCTTGTGGTTCGACAGCCCGAATGGTGGGAGCCATTTCTGTCGAATATGCCATCGATATATGGGGATTGCTATTCGCGGGACCAGTATGGATACTCTGAGTTGCTCTAGTCGTCCACGAGTCACCCTGAGCTTGCTTGGTTGGGTATTGATTGTCAGTTGGGGCGAGTTCATGGGTGCCTTTTGTCGGTTGGCGAATTAGGTCATCCACAGTGATTTTGGGGATCGAATTCTGGCGGCGTTTCCATCTGCGTAGAAGAAGGAGTGTAACCCCTAAAATAAGCAGGGCGCCACATGCGGAGCCAATGACTACCCCGACAATTTCTCTCTCGTTCAGCCGCCGTGGATTTGAGAGCGCTTGTTCTGAAGGCTTCGAAGGCGACTCCAAAGGCGCTGACGAAGTAGGCGATGCCGAAGGCCGCGCGGTTTGCGAGGGAACAAGATCATATTTCTTAGCGAATAGAGCTGTGCGGATGGTTGTGGTATCGGTGTCTACGCTTGCAGTTGCGACGGGGGGTACAACTGTTGAAAATTGGCTATAGCAGGGGGTTTGTGTTCCGAGAAGAGTACTAAAAACGGACCAACCACTGGCACAGAGCTTCTTAGTGTCAATCGTCCAATGGCTTTCTGGAAAGCAAAGACTTCATACTTACGTTGGGCAACATGCGTTCTCCTCTGCGACCACATAGCCCTGTGGGCAGGCTGAGAGAGGGGCGCCTGGCTTCCCCTCAACTGGGCAACAGGTGTGTTCTTCATTATCCCTACAGACAATCCGGGAATAGACTGTTATATGATTGTTCGAATCCGTGACGGTAGTATCTTCAGTCGGCCATGTGCAGGACCCGATCACTATTCCAGGCCCAAGATCTCGTGAGCCTAAGGTTCCAGAACTCTTGTCCATCGAAGTAGTAGATATACTGGTGACAAAGGCCGATGGAAAGGCTCCAGAGCGGGTGGGTATTAGGGAAGGGCCAAAAGTTGTAACTGATATAGTTGGGTGTCCCATAATGATCCCTGGGCCGGAATATTTGCCGGCTGGAACTTCCATTCTTCGTTGAAAGATACGGTCTATAATATCGGGAATATTGGGAATGGCTAGGGGGAAATCAACCATTCACTTTGATATCTTCTGATATCTCAAGCCGCTTAATAGCTGTTCCCTGTCGTAGAAATTAGATGTGTACCAAGTTATCTCCCGCAAGGAAAACTGACATACAAGACAGAGAGGCTTATGGAACCCGAAACAATAATCAATCTATGTGACAATGAAATATATTCCACTGTAAGTACGAGTGTTAGAGACTTATTTCACCCATAACGTAGTGTTTCAGCTGAGAATAAATCGAGAGATGTGATCCTTAAGGAGACTGCGGGAAAGAATGTCACCAAATATGTACTTACATGAGATAGTAAAATTTAAATTGCTATGGAAACTGTGTGTGTGTGTGTGTAAACAAACAGTAGTATAGCTGTCATTGCTTGGTAGGGATTAAACATAACCCACAGTATTGACAGAGAGATTGAGCGCATAAAGTCGAGTGGATGCTCCACATCTAAATCCATAAGCCGGCAACGGATGCCTGGGGCTCGGCGCTGCAAGCGCCATAAGAAAGAACTTGGCCAATAAATGGGTTTGCTTAAAGGATCTAGATAGAAGGACTCTAGAAATACAAGCTATCTAGCTCATTGCCGCTTCCGGCGCTCGCCAGGTTCTAAGCCGCTTTGTGGAAGTAACGCCACCACATTCCAAGGGGACTCCACCTGGTAAACAAAGATCTTTGCATTTAACTGCGTTATTGAATAAGAAATACAGTCAAAGAGATGAGAAAGTATGTTAATGTATGGCAGAATAATATTTTATTTGCTTGTCAGTTGCATCATTTGGGCCAATGCGTTCAAATTAGGTATCATGGAACTACATAGTCACACATCTGTTATGGTGGAAGATGTCATTTTGTCATTACATACTCATAGTAACAATAGAGTAGAAAGAATAATGGAAAGACTCTTGTACATGTACATACATTCAAAACAAATGAGCGGATGAAGTTAGTTCAAGGTTGTTCGAGAAATTAGAGTATACACTAGTTAATCACGTGACAAACCTTAATATCATTTATGCTCACTAAATTAAGGTTGTTTTTGGCATAAAACGGTCAATTTGTATTCAAGGGAACAATGTACGGAGTATATAGTGTCTGAGTAAATGAAACTGTTGGCCTCAATAGAAGCCAGGAGCAAAATGGCATCTGAGCACCCGCCGTGTCGCGTGTTTAACACATTATATGAGTAACCATTCAACTTTTGAACAAAAATCAAGCAGTGTTTGCTTTAACACGACAATAGACTATTAGGAGAAATGAGACACCAAGTCGAGAGAGTTGAGAAACGGAGCAAGAAAGACTCAATAACAAATGACGCGTAAATGTCTTCGATGAAATCAAATCGCGCTCAACAACGCAATGGGTTTTCAATAGAAATAATCTCACAACAAAGTGGCATTAGAATCCATCAATAGCATACAACTCGGATAGAAAGAAAAAGAATCAAAACAAACAAACAAGCAAAACAAAACAAAACAACATGCACCAAAGATGTCAGAAGTATCTCAGCCGGATTGGGCAGAATATGTCAGGGATACCCCGCTATGTGAGGAGAAAGCTCTCAAAATAACGCAGCTTCAAGTCAACTACCAACAAAACAACGGCCAACATGGAGGCGCAAACATTGCATAGGACTTACAAGCCCTCCAAGCCCCATGAGAGATGACAGCTGTTGATCAGTAACATCTGGCGGGACCAATGTAGCATAACTGGCCTCCAAGCTTGTATGTGAGGGTCTAACTTGTAAGGAAAAGATGCAACAGACACGGTGCGATTCTCGCTTGCATCCACTGCATTAGCAATTGAGCGCCTGGTGAAAGAAACACTATCATCAAGGGAAGATAAGACCCAGTCAGATCGATGATAATCTTCACAATGAATACCATCAACGGACGGTGACTAGAAGGCGGAGACAACATGTTAACAATCCTTGTTACAGAGGTCAGTTTCACGGGTCCACCCTAACCTGAAGAAATAAAGTTTGCCTAGGTACGTCCTAATAGCTGCAGACCTCTCGGGTGCTTGGTGCGTATGAGTAAAATTAATTCCAAGTTGTTTTGAATTGGAGTTCGATTGAATGTGGAATTACTGAGAAATGTGTCAAGCCCCTTCTGAATGCTTACTAATGTTGCAGAGCGATCGCCTCCCGCCAATAATGAGAAGCGACATCGCCCAGAAAATCGTTTGATATGTTCCACTGCCGGATCCGATCCTGTTTCTTGCCTAAACGACAGACGACGTCAATTGCAATGGATTCCGATAATAACCCGCCAGATTCCAGAGAGTCTGATGAAACTTACATTTTAGTGACAGGCACAAACAGGTAGGCATCAAAACAAGCTGCCCAGCTCTCCTGTTAATTTTTCGCTAATGCCATTTTCCTCCGAACTGCCACAGTGGCCTAGGATTCTCTATTTGCTGCCGCGCAATTGATGAATTCTTCGCAACACGCCCAGAATCCAAGTCCTTAACACTCTTATTTACCTCCCGCAGCTCCAAAAAGAGTGCCGAAACCCTCTCCCAACTCCAAGCACACCTCAATGGCTCTGCCACCAAATACAGAACGTGCAAGGACCGTGTGACCCTCAGGCCGGAACATGTTGATCTGGCCAATTTGCTGTCAGTGCGCGCCCTGTCGCGACGGCTGCTGACATCCCTCCCGAAACTGGACGCTGTCATCCTCAATGCTGGAATCGCCGGGTTCACGGGCATCAATTGGTTCAAAGCGATATATCTTGTCTTGACAGACTTGGTGAACGCAGTCACGTACCCGGCAGAATTTACACTTAGTTCCAAGGGGGTGCTAGTGAAGAAACAGACGTCGCAGCCTGACGAGCCTCCGCTGGGAAACGTGTTCTGCTCGAATGTTTTTGGACACTACATGCTCTCGCACGCATTGATGCCCCTGCTCTCTGCCTCCGAAGTAACTCCAGGCCGTATCATCTGGATATCCAGCCTCGAAGCTACAAGTGCAGATCTCGACCTCTCAGACCTCCAAGCCCTAAATACCCGATGCGCCTACCAGTCTTCCAAACGCCTCACGGACGTCCTCGCCCTGACCTCAGATCTCCCAGGGTCCTCGCCGTGGGTTGACAGCTACTTATCCACATCTAACCCTTCTGCCACTGCAAAACTACAGCAGAATAGAACCAGGAATCCAAACCGCACCACCGCACACTCAAAACCACAAATCTACATCGCCCACCCAGGCATCTGCGGCACCGGCATCATGCCTCTCCTTCCCCCCCTCTTCTACGCCATGATCGCCGCATTCTGGCTCGCCCGCATGCTCGGATCACCCTGGCACACCATCTCAACCTACAGCGGCGCCTGCGCTCCCGTATGGCTAGCGCTCACGCCACAGTCTGTACTGGACGCTGCTGAGGGCGTGTACGCGCGTTTAGGTGGCGGGAAACCGAAATGGGGATCGTCCAGTGACCGGCTGGGTCGGCAAAGCGCTGTGTCCACCGAGGTGGAGGGCTGGGGGTATGGTGGGGTGGTTGGTGCTGCTGTGTTGGAGGGTGACAAGAAGCGGAGAAGGAAGGACGGGGCGACGGATTTGACGGCGGAGGAGAAGGTGGAGTTTGAGGAGCTGGGGAGGAGGTGTTGGCGGGAAATGGAGGAGTTGAGGGTGCGGTGGGAGAAGATTTTGGAGAAGGAGGAGGAGGCAAGGGGGATCTTGAGTGGGCTGTAGTAATTTTGTTCGTTCTAATGAGATCAGGGTCATTCCATGCGTTGGCTTGCGAGGAAAGGTTGGTCCCCGTTGGTGAGGCATGTTTGGATATACGGCTTGGTTTTCCTCCGTTTTGGGGTTGTTCCAGGGTCTCTCTATTTCGGGCGCAATGTCTTTTTTTTTTTTTTTTTTTTTTTTTTTTTTTTTTTTTTGAAGCCTTTTTAATTATTGTAATATACCCGCTCCACGTATATGGCGCTTACATTGTAATCTAGATAATACCTCTAAGCGGGTTTAATTGTGATACACAGATATCCGAAGAAATCTTTATTGTTTCTCACATTTTATGATTTTCTGGCTTGCTTTTCATACGAGACCTACCCTTACTGCGTATATGATATGAACCCCATGTGGTAGGTATGCGCCCTGGAATGTGAAACATGGTCCAGATCCTGAAATAAAAGGATAAATTACACACCAGAGAGGAGGATCCACTAAGTAAATTAAACTAAGATTAAAATTCGAGCCAGATCTTGCAGTATATCAGGCAAACAAAAGCAATATATATATATGTAAGGCAAGAAAGGGGAAGCAAGATACACTACAGAGGTGGAGGAAAATGGAAAAAGGAGAATGTACGAAGGAAAACTAAAATAGAAGAATTAGGTTCCTGAACCCCAGGCAAAAACGCAGAACCAAGTCAGAAAATGGAGCGGAGAAAACGACGCATGCAATATGTGAACAAGGGAGATTATGAGCATATGGGATCTCTCGAAGGAGTTGAGAACCGACAAAAACCATGAGAACAAAAAGTTGGGCCGCGGAAGATATTTTTTCACTCATCGGACATGAATGAGCTAGTAACGTATTTAAAAAAAAGGAAAGAAAAGAAAAGGGGGAATAAATAAATAACATCAGGAAGGAAAAGCAAAAATGTCAACCTCATCAACACCCTGCCCGCCGCTCTATAGGCATAACCCACCCGTTTTTGAACGTCCCGTTTTATTTGTATTACCTTTGATTCGATCCAGACAAACCCACGCACCCTGCACCCACCTCTTTGACGTTTCGCGTCCAACACGTAACATACCTCCACACCTCGCGCGCCGTTGATAATTATCTGCACAGAACGACTCCAATCCATGCTTGAAATTAGGTTGTCAAAAGTGATTATAAAAAATGAAGGCAAGTTTGTCCTCTCCGTTGTTGGTATTGCTTAAAAGATCTTCTTAGTGGAATTAAGAGAAGGCTCATGTAATAGGATATGTTGGGTTACATGATAATAGCCGGAACTATTAAGATATATATGTTGTTAGTTATGGGATATACATGTATTTTAACGAAGAATTGAGGTAATCGAAAAAAGAAAATAAGATCAAATACATACCGTCAACGTTCTGTTTAATGCTCTTGTGAGGGAGAATAGAGCCTCCATTGACGTAGACCTCGTCCCCAATAGTTACATCGTCCCCAAGGACAGTAACATTTTCCAGTCGTGCCCACCTACCCACGGTGCTATTCCACCCGACAATCGTCGACTTTACCCACGCATGATCCTTGACTTTGCTATTCTCTAGTAGGACGCAGCGCTGAAGTCGTACCCCATCGCCAATCACGACATTCGGTCCAATCACGACATTGGGTCCAATACGGCAGTTCTTCCCAATTGTAGCAGAGGGATCTACCATCACATTTCCTCCGTAAACGTATGGCTCTGAAAGCGGGCACAGAAATTTCGAATTGCGTTTGGCGAGTGAAGAAAGATACAGGCAGGTACCCGTGAGAAAATCCTTGGGCTGTCCAACGTCCATCCAAAATCCTTCCAGGTCAAAGGAATGAAGCTGGCCATCTTTGCATATGGCCGGGAAAGTTTCCTGTTCAATAGAAGTAGGGCGGAGCTCAATGCGCTTCAGGACGCTGGGGTTCAGGATGTAGATTCCGGCATTGATGCGGTTCCCCACGAACTCGACAGGCTTCTCAACAAAGCGGTCAATGCGCGATGGATGATTTGGTTTATGTACCACAACACCATATTTAGAAGGTTCCTCCACTTTTGTCACCACAATTGTTCCTTCGTCTGCGTGTTTCTTGTGGAAAGCAGCTAGTTCTGCAAAGGGATATTCACAAATCACGTCTGAGTTGAGAACGAAGAATGGGCTGTCGTCCTTTCCTAGGATCTCCTCTGCGAGTTTAAGAGGTCCCGCGGTGCCTAACGGCTCCGATTCGACAGAGAAGGTGATTTTTACATTATATATTTGCTCGTACTGTAATTGTGATTTCCGCCAACGATCAGCATACTTTTTCTTTTTTCTTTTTGCCCCTTGGTTTTTGCAAGCAGTAGCACGACTAGCTAGCACTAGTTAAGCTTTCAATAGGATAAATAAACGCGTACCTTCTCAAGCGCAGCTACCATGACATCTGGCCGATAATTAACAGCGAGAACAATATCTGTTACACCGGCAGCAGCTAAGCTCTCAACTTGATGTAGGATCATAGGGCGGTTGGCGAACTCCACCAGCGGCTTCGGAAGGGTAAGAGTCTAGGTAAAAAAGAGGTATAAGTATCGAATGGAGCCCCCGCACAGTTTTCGAGGTGACAGACGGGATTCGCATTTTGCGAAGCGTACGTACCAGGGGTCGCAGACGGGTTCCAAACCCCCCAACGAGAATTAGGGCTGCAAACCACAAAAAGAACGTCAGCAAATGGATCAATTGCCCTGTCGGGAGCATCCCGAATGCAGGTAATTCTTACCTTTCATAGTTGATTCGAGATATTAGGTAGGGTGGTAAAGGGAAATATGAGGCCAGCAGAGACCGGCCTTGATTCAAATTAAGGTACAGGTGATGTGGGGTAGAATGGAAGTAAGGCAAACGAGTGTGTGCAAAGAGGAGAAAAGACAGTAAAACGGCAGAGGCAGATAGAGGAATTGAGAGTATTAAGAGGAGCGGACGGAGTGTCGGGGGGCGCAGGAGGAGAGGAAGTCGAGGGAGTGTTTGTGAAGAAAGAAAGGGGAGGAAGATACGACGTGGTATGAATTCTGTCTCTGATGGGATGCGGTGGTTGTTTGAGCCAAGGGCGACGAGGCCACATGGACCGCGCTAGCGGACACAGGGCCGGAGGTGACTCGGGCCAGAGGTACCTTCGACGGCAATTCACTAGCAAACTCTGCGGTGTGCCGTCCCCGAGCAACCTCAGCTGTAGGTACCACTGCTGCGCCCTCTTGAGGGCAAAAACTAGCTAAGAAAAGAATAATTTATAATTTCCATCCAAGAAGCCGCCAGTTTCTGTCATCTGATCCGAATGGCGATCAAACTCCAGCCCATGACTGGCTCTTGTGTAGCCCCGGTTGGCTTTAATTTGCCAGCCTATTAAAAGCTTCCAGAGGGGAGTTCATAAACACACTAACTTTTGAACTGAAGCATTTGTTATGGTAATTAATTTCCTGGAGTTATTGGGCATAAGTTCTGTTGAGATTCTCCTCCACTCAGGCGATCCCATGTTCCCTATGCCCGAGTCTTGTCGCTAAAGTTACGGATGCTTGGGAGGATAAAAGGAAGCTTTTTTATTCAAGAGACAATTCCAGTGCTTTTTTTTTTTTTTTTTTTTTTTTTTTTTTTTTTTTTTTTTTTCCTCTCTCTTAATTCAGTAGAAATAACTAGTAGAAACTTTTTTGCGCCAGCGACAAGGCTCTGGATATCCCATCCAAAAAAATTTAGTTAAACCATAACTGCACTTCCCTGAAAATTGGCACTCTTCAATATTGTTGGCTTCAATCCCATGACCAAGACACCTGAAGAGAACCTCCGCGAAATAATAATTAATCAACCACGTTCCTGGCATCCTATGATTATGTAGGGATCTTTCGACTTGCATGGCTTAGGGCAGCAAACTGGGGAAGTGTGAGGTGAAACCATGCCGAAGTCGAGCACAACATTCAGTTTCACAGTGGACCTAAAGTTTATTTATTGTCTATGACATAAATCTGGTTTTTCGGGAAAACATTCAGTTATGGCTTATTGGGTATCCGGTGGGAGACACGGTTCATCCCCTGGCACCCCAGGTCGAATTGACGACTGGTCGACCTTTCCGTAAATATGAGGGCTGATAAAATCCAAAATCCAATCTCTGACTCTGCGTACCTTCACTAACTGCGGGTGAGAATCGCTCGTTCGATCGGCAAGGGTCTGGGCGGTAAACAGGCCCTGTTCATCACTAGGGTCAATCGGCGCGCGATGTAGAAGATCAACTTTCGTCATGTTATCCTTCAAGCTCTGACCATATACTTTACCCCGAAAGCTATTGAGTGCCACAGACCGGAATAGAACGATATCTCGCGGGCGTAACCCGCGTATCGACCCATCAAGGCCTTGCTTCGCACCATCCCCCGACTCGCCTCCCTTTAGGGACAACCAGCAAGTGATCTGGAATCCTGACCTTGTTTCATCGCCCACCACTAACTCGACAACATCGGTCTCGTCTCCCCAACGAGTTCGCACACGTTTGCGCGGGTATATCGTGATTATTGCCACGATCAGATTGATAGGGATCATCCGAGGGGAGATCGAATGGAGATACGCCGCGCTGGGGATATCTCTTAGATCACTCAAATGTCCACGTAAAGGGGGCGGCAGGGGATGCTGATGGCTGTCAGTGTCATGATCCTCTGTCGACTGGTTCGCAGCGCTGACTATACTGATATCGTCCACGGTAGTCTCGAAGTTGGATTCTGTGGAAAACGAATCCATCCCGCTCAGCAAAATAGAGTCTCCGCCCCCTTCATGCACTGCAAAGGAATGATCGTAGAATTCTGACCCAGCCTCCACCTCAATATCTAGTGTCGCCTGTAATCCAGTATGTCTCTCAATTGCACCACCCTGCGCGAAGAACTCCGTGCCTTCATAGTCAATATTCTCATCATCCTGGTTCTCATCAACTTCGTCATGTTCTCCTGGGAAGCCATAATGACGCTTGCCTTGCTCAATGCGCCGCCAACGCACCGGGCCCGCTTCTGTGGTACCGCGTCCATCACCAGAACCAAGGAGGCAAAACCAGCACTCGTTCAGTAGCTCTGAAACATCCCATTTTAGCGCACTGGGACGGGGTGCTCCCGTTAAGGTTATAACCTTCACCGGCATGGCTCCTGTCAGGTGTTTGAGAAACCAACATCCATGGATGAAGAGCCGTAGGTACGGACGTAGTAGTTATTTGGTTGCCTGTTTCTCGCTTGGAACATGCTTGCTGGTGAGAACGGCGTAGCAATGTATAGAATATTGCGGTTATGTGATGGAGGAATTTGAAACTATGTAGGAAAAGGCCAGCACGTCAGCCCAAGTGCCCTTCACAAGCTAGGCTCTTTCATGGCCAGCTAGGCTCTTTCATGGCCAACATGGGAGGAATTTAACGTCAAAAAGCTAGCTGCTGGTGGTGGTTTGGTCTGGAACGTTCAAGAATACAGCCATTCAACTGATATAGCCAGTCACATGATTATATGCGAACTTGACCTCAAACTTGGTGAAGTCTGATTCCTAACGTAGAGTTGATTGAAGGGGGAAATGCTTTGTTTTCTTTTAGGTAAATATCCTTTAGATGGCGACCATCACCTTCAACAAAAAGAAACCTATTCATCCATTTCACTGCCTCCAAAATGACGTTCTAACCTTACCAAAACTCCGATCGGTACCTGTGATGACTAAGCGTCGTAACCGGCGATCTCGGCTACGGTGCGGCTTCGGGACCAAAGTGGCAATATCGTCGAACTCTAACAAACTCGCCGCTTGCTACCGAGAAACAAGAGAACAACCAACAACCCAGGTCTTGTTCAAACGCCCCAACAATGGCTCTGACGCCTTCTTTATACTGAATGGATTTGCTCGACTGAGACCCTGATCGCCATTCAGCCAAGTCCAGAGTTATTTGCCCGTCTTTTGGCTGACTCGCCTGCCACAGGATGGCCTTCAACGCTCCGCTTTGCCTGCCCGTACGGAATTTTTCACTTTTCTCCCCTAATCTGGACAGAGTACATTACTTACTGACCATGAAAAATATGCAGAATGCGGCAGCTTTGACTACGGATCTTTGGCCTTCCGTGGCTAATGCTCTGGCAACGCCGTGGAAGAGTTTTGGCCGGCCATCGTCATCGGAAATTCGTCCTGCCAAGGAACGTCATGATCTTCTTCCGAGCCGCCGGGATGAATCTTCAACGGTGAGTCCTTCGCTTGGCCATATATTGACACAACATGCGTTGCTAATGATCTCAGGTTCAATCTCATACGGCCCTTCCTGAGTGTTTGAAGTCAGTCCCGATGAACGCTCTGCGAAACAGCTCCAAAGCAAACCCTGCGTTTGGCCAACAAACCCTGTCTTCAATATTTTCTTCTCGTACGTTGAACCTACCCGCAGTCTTTTTTTCCCCCTTTCCACCTGGCTAACAACCCAGCTTTAGCTACTCGGACAACTATTTTGAACAACCGGATTCCTTCGACGGCGAACAATGTCAAATCGACCTCCCCACGCCAGTACTCTACCATTTCTCTCCTCCAACTCGACCGTTCGCGGAGGATTCCAGAATTGAAAGGTGTTTCACAGATTCAGCAGCACAGATTCCTTTACGGCGGACCTTTCCAGAATGTCTTAGCCCACACTGAGAGAACCGCAAACAGCAAACCTCATAGCGTGAGCGCCCAAAATGCATTTTACAACGCCTTGCTTCGCGCCAACATGCCTGCAATCATCATTGAACGATACCGGAGCGGAAAGTATGCCAGTGATGGGTTCAGTGAAGCTACATACCTAAAGGCTCTTGAGCGTGTCGGCGGCTTGGATGCTAGCGCTGGTTTCAGGCCTGCACAGAACCAATTTCAATCGCAAAATCAGAATCTCAACAATGATCAACTCCAAGCGGTTGGACAAGCGGTTGCGGCCCATATGAATGGGGGACAAGTTGGACTATCTACGAAAAAGGACGGTACTGGAGCCAAGGAATCCCCTCTGTACGTTGTGGTGGAGGAATCTCTGTCAAGCTCTATTTATCGCTGGGTCAAATTCATCTTCATTTTCCTGCTCTTCACCTACGTCTCCTTCGTCGTGATCAACATTATCGCAGACACTACAGGTATACTGAAAAACGTGCGAGGCTCCCAGCCCAACGAAGCGCAACCGCAGCACCAACAAGTTCGGTTCAGTGATGTTCATGGATGCGACGAGGCCAAGGAGGAACTACAAGAACTAGTCGAATTTTTGACTAACCCTGAACGCTTCAACACGCTTGGTGGCAAACTACCCAAAGGTGTGCTCCTGGTTGGACCCCCTGGTACAGGAAAAACACTACTTGCTCGAGCTGTGGCTGGAGAGGCTGGTGTACCTTTCTTTTACATGTCTGGATCGGAATTCGATGAGGTATATGTTGGTGTAGGAGCCAAGCGTGTTCGCGAATTGTTCAATCAAGCCCGAACCAAGGCACCTGCGATCATATTCATTGACGAATTGGACGCGATCGGAGCTAAGAGAAATGAGAGAGATGCCGCCTACGTGAAGCAAACTCTGAATCAACTTCTGACCGAACTCGACGGGTTCTCCCAGTCTACTGGCGTTATTATCATTGCAGCAACCAACTATCCTAAACTACTCGATAAAGCCCTAACACGACCTGGCCGGTTCGACCGCAGGGTCGTAGTCGGCCTTCCTGACGTCCGCGGCCGCGTTGATATCCTGAAACACCATATGAAAAACGTCCAAATAAGCACAGATGTTGACACTACTGTTATTGCCCGTGGAACACCTGGTTTTTCCGGCGCCGATTTAGAGAATCTCGTCAACCAAGCTGCCATTCATGCCAGCAAGAACAGACAGACCAAGGTCGGCCCTAAGGACTTCGATTGGGCCAAGGACAAAATAATGATGGGAGCCGAAGCGCGCAGCAGAGTTATGCGGGAGAAAGATAAGCTTCTTACCGCATATCATGAAGCAGGACATGCTCTTGTCGCTTACTTCTCTCCCGCTGCGACCCCCCTGTATAAAATTACTATTGTTCCGAGAGGCATGTCTCTGGGTACCACTCATTTCCTCCCGGAAATGGACATCGTTTCACGGAATTATACTGAGTTTTTGGCGGATATCGACGTGTCTATGGGTGGTAAGGCTGCTGAAGAACTTGTTTTTGGACCTGAAAACGTCACGAGCGGTATATCATCGGTATGTTTTTGCCTTTTTTGGCCTTTCGCTCCTCCAATATTTGATATTTCACATCTTAGCTAACTGTTCCTTTTTCTCTTGGGGTAGGATCTTCAACATGCAACCAACACCGCCTTCTCGATGGTGACGCAATATGGGTACTCCAAGAAACTAGGCTCCATCGACCTCGTTACAAACTACAAGACTTTATCTTCGGAGACCAAGCAAGAAATCGAATCCGAAGTCAGACGTCTAGTCGAGGAAGCGAGTCGGCGTGCAACAGCAATTCTCACAGAACACCGAAAGGAACTGGAGCTATTAACCAAGGCATTGATGGAGTATGAGACGTTGACGAAGGAGGAGATGGAAAAGGTATTGAGGGGAGAAAAGTTGGATAAGCTTGAATCGATACCCAAAGCACCAATTATACTGCCCGATGCACTGATGGCGGCCGGATTAAAGCCGACTGCTGGTGAATCTGCCGCGCCAAAATGAGCATGAGTATCATTTAATGCTTTCCTGGTTTTGCTCGAGTTCTTCTTTTATTGTCTTTCCCTTTTTACTTTCTTTTCTTGCTATTATTAGTATACAATTGGTCTCTTGATTCTCCCGTTGTTTGATTGCTTTTTCATATATAGCTTTTTCTTTTCATCATCTTTTTTAGCACTTGGCTTCATACCCTTTGGAAGCATACATGCATGCATACCATCAACACTCATCTCCGAAAACAATTTGACACAGATATACCATTATCTGCTCAGTCACTTTCGCATGCCATATCTCCCATGTGGTTTTCCCGTCCCCTTTTCTTCTGTGTTCACATTTTCCTTTGTTGGGGGCAAACATACATGTAACACAGCGGAAACAATGGATCTATCAGTTTTAAATTTTTCAGTTTCTTCCCCTTTTCTTTGTAAACTTCTTCCTACTGTTGAGCTATCAAAAACCACTGCTAACATGTAAAGTACACTTCATTACTATTCCACGTCCCTCAACCGAAGGATTGATATTTACGCCCGGCCAAAAACCACCACTTTTTTATAGGTTAGCATATACATGGACTGTACATACAAAATAACTTTGATTTGCGAAAGCTAATCTAGAAAATTTGACTTTCTCCTGTCAAAACATACCTGGGCCTTCCAGGCCCTATCCTAGTAGGGAAGAATGCTTCCGCAGTCAAATGACAGGGCCACATCTTTTGTAGCCAAGTGGAAGGTTGTGTGCAAGTCGTATGCATGTTCTACCCAGCCCTACACCCAGAATATGCAGGGAACAGTACGACAAAAACGCTGTCTTGACGAGTATTTTGGTTTTAAAAGGAAAAAGCAACCGAGGTGTTATAATTAGCCGCTCCCAGTCAGTTGCTCATCATGACGGGATACTATCAAAGTCCGGGCTGTCACAACAGAATGATATTTATCGGTGGACAGAAACGAAAAGGGCATATCGCCTGGCATTTCGGTTCCAATGATGATTCCGCACTCCCGACTTCATGGTGGATAGATTTGAAATCAGAGAACAAAACCTGCATCAGCTTCAAGGTTGCTGACCAATCAAAGGCCCTTTGGAGTGCTCAAGTTTTACAATTCATCTTTCTGGTCGTGGTTCAACACTTTGCAGTTCGCCATGGATGGTGACTAGTGGAAAACAGGCACAGGGAGATGGGATAGAATGAGAAAACCGAACATGGGACGAGGGGTGAAATTTCCTGTTCACACGAACCAGCAAGCCCTTCCCTCATCGAGAAAAAGGAGATGAGGGGTAGAAACGCACATTGCTGCATCATGTAGGAAGCGAGGTGCAGTCCCGAAGCTCTCTCCTTGGCCTCGAGAGGGACAGAGAGAAAACAGGACGAAGAATGATTTATAGATCCAAAAGACCTGGTTGGTGGCTCAAATGCTTTCGAGGCCTGGTCTGTCCGGCGCCTGATTTAGGCGCGGTTTAACGAGAAACCTTGACCATGGGTCTCCGGAGGAGACTGAGTAGTAGGAGTTAAGTTACGGCGTTTGGATGATCGTTTCTCACGAAAATCTGGCTTGAAAGAGCGGTTGAACAGACCATCATTATCAAAGAATAGATTGGGGTATCATTTACCCAACCAGCAAAGGATCTTCTTGCCATCTACCGATTACATCCGTGCAGATATTCCTTCTTCTGACACACGGCGTTGAATTGATGAAAGCGCTCGACTACCAAGCGCGAGACAAGATCGGGCTAGTCGGGTGCCGGTGGTGAGACAGATGGATCAACCTAGCAGGGCCTGGAGCATCCCAACTGACGGGCCGCAATCCCGTGCACGCCGATTGGTAGTTGAGCACCACCACCCGGGGAGGTCATCGCTGAACTTCGTCCTCCCCGACCGATTGCAACCATCCATGAGCATCCTGGGATCCCTTGCAAAGCTAGATGAGCATCGGCATACATGTATGTATGTATGTACTCCGTACACCGCCCTAGTACAGGAGATATAAGCAGGTTGAAACGATGATGGTGTTGGCTGTTCATTGAATTGTGAATTGTGAATTGTGAATTCGTCATTACTTTGGCGGCGATGACTGGAGCAGACTGGTTTCTTTTGTCGTTCTATCATTGCTCCCCTTCCTCCATTTAGCTGGAGGTCACGGCCGGGTGGAGACTTCATGACCACGCGAAATGAATCTTAGACATCGACTGGCAATCACTCTGGCGCTAAACCGAGGAGCGGGAATGTTAATCATTCGCAAATGTTGATCCTCTCCTGTCCGTTTTTTTGGGGGTTCGGTGAATCGCTCCTTGAGAGCGGAGGAGGCAAGAGCGATTCCAGCGGTCTCTACCGAACAAGTATCAGTAACCGCCTATCCGGACATCATTATTATTCTCTAGCGAGTCTCCTCGCTCCGACCGTGCTATTCCAGGAAGCTGAACTCCTTCGATACTGCTTGCAACTTTACCACTAATGTTTGGGCCGGCCGTTTGGTTCATCTTTCCAGCCTTTTGGCGATAGTCGGTAATTCTCTGCATCGGTAAAGTGCCTACGGAGTAACCCTGCCCAGTCCCGGGGTCTGTTGATTGGAACGAGAATTGAACGATTTATCCCGCCTAGCTTTCATTGGACAGAAACCAACCAAGGCCAACGCTCTTGGTTTGCCCTTGGGCTCGATTTGGTGACTTCTCGACATTTGGCCCTTGGATATTTGGGATCTGTTTCTCTTCCCCGACAAGTGGTTGACTCGGTATGAATTTGCTGCCTCCAACAATGTAGTGCGGGCATTTCATGCTGCCTGAGACATCCAAAAGTTGAAGCACATGTACATGTATGTACATACAGCCCGAAACGTTGAATGTCAGATCGCTCCAGATGTTCCAAAATCTTCCTTCTCGTTCGTTTCTCATACATTCCGCTCTGAGTTCGGGACCTTACCATGAACCCTGGAAATGGGAGATGCGCAAAGCTTGATCTCCACTTTTTAAAGTAACAGAAAGTGGGAACCTAAGTTAAACGGATAAACTAAACCCCCTATCCTATCCGTGCTTCATCCCGATTTGTTGGTAACCAGGTGTCTGGTCTCTTCTAGACTCTGGTGAACGTTATCGTTTGAAATGCATTGATGTTTGATTTGTGTGATAGTACTACGTATGTATGCTGATCTGTGGCGGAGTTTCTACGCTGTAGGTTGCTTTAAAGCATCCCTGCGCATTGCGTCTATGGATATGTGAAGGAATTTTTTCTGATATTGTCCAAATATGCTCTGAATAACCACCTGGATTGTCTTTGCTCGTAGTAATGAACCGTCTTACGGACGCCTGTATTTGGAGCAGGGTAGTCAGGAGCAGGAGGGTGGGCGAAAATCTTTCCTATGGGTTCCCTTGTCCAAAACCTTCATCGAAAACCCCGGCCTGTGGAGCAGGACATCTGCCGAGACAGCGATCTCTTCTGGGTAACTAGTCAGGTGGGTTGAGGGATTCCGTGGAAGCGAAAGGGCAACGGGCTCAGAGATGTATTGCGTGTAATTCGTCACATTTAACGCAGGTGGCCCGCCATTGCTCATAGACCCAAAGTTCTCCTGCACCTCCCGCAAGTTACTTGAGGTTGAGTCTCGACGGCCATATTTGTGAGGAGTGCAGCCGCCATGGTGCCTTGCTCATCTGCCAATGTCATCAGTAACGATGATGTTGATGATGATGCTGCTGCTACTGCTGCTGGTGATATACGTACGACCCCTTATGAACGAGCATAGATCTCAGCTACCCTTCGAAAGCATGGTCAAAGTCTACATCCTCTGTCCTTCAGCTTTAGGTGCATATAGAATTAGTATAAGACCCTCTGATGGCGTATTTTCCTAACCTTGTATGAAAATCTGTAGCAGTTGTGGAAGAGTAACATTAGCCTGTGCGGAAGTGACCAATATCACCAGGATGTGGCCTGGCAAGGGTGCATTTCTCTCGGGGATTTCTTGACTAGGCCGAGATGATTAAATCATGTGAAGGATTGATGAGATATTGTGGGATGGTTAATCTGTTGTATTCGTGTAGGAAGAGCTAGCTATATATATTACATATGAGATCACGTGTAGGCGGAGCGGTCGCTACGGCAACGCCACTAGGGCGGATGCTACACCCCCCCTCGCATCGCCATGTGAGATCACAAACACCATAATAAAGAATCAATCATCTCTTGCAGATCTAGCTATGCCATCCTCAAATCCATCCAAATCATGCTACCTGCATTGAGTTTGTGTATTCTGTCCCTCTTCACCTGTAAAACCTAGTAAATCAAGGAATCAATGAAATGCAATTATATTCAAGAGTTTAGTCAATTCATCTACTGTCATTTCTTCAGTTGAGATATAATCAATTGAGATTATACCATTGTTCAACTGACTGCAGGTATAATGAAATCAGGTGTCAATATACTTACTTCTCACAGTGATTGCAGTCACTGTGACAAGATCAATCACTCTCTTATTATCTGTCTTGATTGACAGAGAGTCTTCTATTTCAATAAAGCTCAGATTCATTATCATACTTCTCAATCATATTACTTCATATACAGCTTCACTCAATATCATATATTCAGCCTCATTAGAGCTTAAGAATACACAGGATTGCTTACTCAATCATCATGAAATCAGTGCATTTCTCAATTTAAAGATGTAACTAAATGTAAATTTACAATCATCATTCAATAGACTGACTCAATTGAAATCTGTATATCTGACCAGCATGTATACTACATTCAGAAATTCATTCTCAGATCTCTCATCATCATTCTTCACATAGAATATGTCAATCTCATGCATTTCTTTCAAATATCAAATGATGTGTAATAGAGTCTTTCATATCTTAGAGATGAGAGCAGTGTTCTTCTGCATCAGTAGAGATACTGTATGAGTGATATTCAGCTGCAGCTTGACAGCTAAGTATTGCAGACACTCAACATCATGCTGAAATTGTTGCTTTGTAAAACTGCTTTTCTTTTCAGAGACAGAGAAGTCATCTAGATATAGATTCTCATTCATAAGTGTACAGACAGTGATTACATTATCTAGATGAAAATCTTCTATCAATTTATTAATGTAATATCAGAGTGTCAATTTGATTTCACTCTTCATATGTTTCACTTTTATTTCTAGATATTTTATGGGTTTCTTTAAGTCTTTGATCTCTAGTTTTTGCTGCAAAATGTCGACAAGCCAATCAGCATTCTTCGGCATTTCTTGCACTTTTGCAGGGAAAACCACATCACTTATATTGATAATTTTATCTGTTGTAGAACTCCACAAGCGATAGATTGAATATCCGCGGAATTCAATAAGCTTATATGAATCAGCCTGTGTGAACAACTTATTCAACAGCTTCTGCAATTCATGAAGATGAGCAAAAACATCAGTTTCAAGCTCATGGAAATGTGTGATCTGCAGTGAGGCATTTGTCAATGCTGAAAAAGAAATTGTATAAGAGTTATGAACAGCTTCTTTACTATCATCATCTGCAACTGCAGGTCAATACTTTTCATTATATAGAACTGTAGACATGAGTGTATTATTTGTGATTGAAACAACTGTTTTCAGAATATCTGCTCAGAATTTCTTCAGAATCTTCTTATTAATAAGAACTGCTCTGGCGCGGGTCATAATTATATGTATTCCACGCTCAGACATGTCATCTTGATATGATGATTGAGAAGTAGTTAATTCTCATACTGTGTCATGATTGATAAACAATGCTGTAATCTTTATAAATCTGAACATATTATCAACATTGATTCTGACATATACTGATGCAGTAAAATCTAGGTTCTTCATAAATTGAACTCAGTGTGTATAGTAATTGTAAGCTTGATTCTTGATGTGTAAGAAATAGATTCATCTATATCTGATCATGTCATCTGTAATTAATATGTAATATTTATTACTCTGCTGCAATTCAACAGAGTAATCTGTAGACTCACTCAACATTCACTCATCATCTGTAAGATTGATATAAATTCACTTCATTGAGTGTACTGTCTGTGATATGAAGATAATTGAGTATTTACATATCATACTCACTTTAACACAGGTGTTGCAAAAGAAATTGATCTTAATATCTTTGATGTAGATGTCAGATAGTGAATTCTTTGTCAATGCTATAATAGCTTCTATGTGTATATGTTTCAGGTCAACATATCACTCTGCAAGTGTTTTTGCAGTTGTAGATGATTCTTGATATTGAGATTGATCAATGATGAGATTATTATTATCAATAGTGATCATGACTTTAGCATAGTCATTATCATATACATATGATTTCACTGTGAAGTAGACTGCTTTAGACTTATAATATACATCAACTTCTGACATTCTTTCAACTATTTTATAAATTGAGTTTTGAGATGTATGAATTGCAGTGAATATCACTTCACTTAATACTTTAATAATGAAATAGAACAGAGTGTTTGAGCTTAAAAGCTTATATTAAAAACTCTGGTTCTTCAATCTGATGAATAATAATAGATTGACTGTGAGATTGAAAATATAATAAATATCACAGACAGTGATATTTTCTTCTTCAGATTCTAGAAGAAGATTGCTGATCTCTTTGATATGACTGTAATCTCTGTCTACTGTGTAAATCTTCATATTGTCATTGTACATCTTTCACTGAATGAGAAACTGCTTTTCATCTGTCATGTGAAAACTTGCACATGTATCAAGAAATCAAGGTTTGCTTGTTATATCAATAGTTGCTGAAAAAGCAATTACTGCATTGACAGCTGCAGATTATGAGATTATAAGATCAGAGAATTTCTTCTTCTTATTATCTTTATTCTTCTTTTTCTTCTTCTGCTTGCTGTGTTCACTGATACTGGCATTGTTGCTATTATTCTTCTCAGGTGTAATGATATATTTCTTGTTTAACTCATGTCACTGTTCAGTAGCAAGTTCTGAATGTAGATATTAACAGATGTTTTTTCAGTGTCATCTCAAACTGCATATCTCACATTTGAAACTGTGTACAGATGATGTAGAGAGAGTCATGATAGTTATATTAACTCACTAAAACTTAGAATTTTCATTCTTGAACTTGCTTGTACAGTTTGTCAACTGTTTCATAAGATTATTAATATCAATATTGCATATAGAGTTCTGATCAGATGTGTAGAAATTGTCTAAACATATCTTAATAAAAGACTCTTGATACTTCTTCAGATCAATAAGAAAGAGATTATAGTAGAAGTCTTTCAAGTTATTTATTAATTTCTTATAACATACAACTAGATAACAGAATCTTCTCTGAAATATCAGATAATTATTATCTCTGATATATAAGATGATGAATTCTTTCATAATATTCATATATTTCTTCACAAGTGAGACAGCATATTCAACTTCAATTCTTTTTCATAGCACAGCTGCATTATCTGGCTCAAGAATTTCAATGATTGTATGTACAGATTCTAATAAGAACTGTAATATACATTAATACAGTGCTTTGATGCAAATGCTTCATTTTTCAGTACTTAATATGTCTTGACTGATGTCTTCTGAACAGATATGTTGATTCTTCATAAGAATATTGAATCTGCTGATGACTTCAGCATCTGCAAGAATTTCTGTACATCAGATCTCATAGTTATTATCATCAAATATGATTACAGCTTTGATATTCATGGCTTTTTGAACATTCTTTTGATATTTACAGATCTCAGATTTGAAATCATCTGCTGCAGAAGTAGCTACTTGACATGCACTCATTCTGTTATAGAATATTATCAGATTATTAAATATTATTGATATTATATTATCTGAACTCATTCTAGATATGATACTTGTGTGTCATACTTCTGTACACATTGCTTATGAACTTGAAGTATCATCATTCAATTCATGATCTGCTTCACTGTTTGCAGATAACTTCATGATCTCTTCTATAGCTTCTGTGTATTATATAGTATCTATTTTCTCTGATTCTTCATTAATAGATGTCTGAGTGTGAGAATGCAAATATAAAGTTCTTTTTCTATCACTCTATAGCATAGACATATCACTCATCAGTCAAAGAAGAGTTGAATGAAGGAATTGAAAAGAAAAAAAACACATTATATTATACTGAAGAGTTCTGCTATTTCAATTGCTGGTCAAGCAGATACACTCATAACATGCAATGTAAACATGATAAAAGAATTCTCCTATTCAGGGTGAACACATTCAATGCTTACACAGGTGTTTTTAAACAAAAGTAAAAAAAAAAAAATGTAATCCTTTGTAAAAACATGCTATCCGGGCTATAACCTGTGGGATGATTAATCTGTTGTATTCATGTAGGAAGAGCTAGCTATATATATTACATATGAGATCACGTGTAGGCGGAGCGGTCGCTACGGCAACGCCACTAGGGCGGATGCTACAGATATTTAGGTTCAGAGTTCGGCCCCCGAGCTTTATTAAACGCTGTCCCAAGGACAGGGATTATTCTGTCAATTGGAAATTGTGCAATTCGAATGCCATAGTCAATTGTCACTTTTGAGGATGGATATTACCACAAAGCAACATATAAATATCCAGATGCACGAGATACAGCCCTACTGCGTAGAGAGTTACCACCCTGAAGATTGGAATTGTAATTGTTCTACGTAGATTGGTG